CGCCGGGTAGCCCGGGAGCCGCGGGCACGTGCGAAGGGCTGGCGCAGAGTGCGGCCTGGGGCCGCCGCCGCAATCCCGGGAGACTCGCGCCGCGCTCACCTCCCTTGCTTGGATGGGCTCTCGCCTCCCAGTCCCAGGGCGCCCCTGCCTGGCGCCTATCGGTTGGCGCGCTATGCTTGGAGAGCCATCGTCCCTAGGTTTCCAGCTGCTGCTTCCCGGTGCAGGCTGCCGGGGAGCTGGGGACTGTGACACCCCTTCCGCTCTGGCCCGCTGAGCTTTATGTCCCGGAGGGCTGCTGGGAGTCCGCGCTTCCCCACCCTTGAATGCTGCGACTGTGGTGGGGAGGGAGGAGGCGCAAAGAGCTTCAAGGGTTGACCCGACACCCTTCGTCCTTCCGGATACTCGTGTGCCCACCCTTTCTCCATGCCCCGGGGAGAGGAGTGCTCAGTGCCAAGAGTCCCAGTCCGGGCCATACCTCACAGTTCCCGTCGCCTGGGTCCTTCTTCCGCTCAGCTTCTAATTGAGGCTGCGCGTCCGCTGCGCCGAGACTCGACCTGTGGAGGAGAGACGGGAGGAGGGGAGAGAGTGCTCTGGTGGGTACCCCTGTTAACTTCTGGGTGCTGGTGGGGCCGCCGAGGCTCGGGCGGTTCCTGCGGCTGCTCCAAGGGCCTCTTGGTAAAGCACCCAGAGGCGGCTGCTTTCGAGAAGTCCTGACGCACGCAGGGTGGACGCCAGTGCGCAGATCTCCGCTTGGGCCGTAGGGACGCCCTCTTCCAGGCGTCCCCGAGAGAAGCCTCCAGATTTGAAAATCAATTCAGCTTCGGGAGTAATTGAGCCCTTCCCACAGCCACGCTCCAATCCGTAATCGAACCTGGTCTTTGGGCCTCGTGGGGACCGTGGGGAGGCCCCCAGTGTGGGACGTACACCCCGCCGGCCGCCACATGCCGCGGCTTTCTTTCATTTACAAAAGAAAGAAAGAAAAAAAATCCTCAACAAAAGGCAGAGCCGTGTCCGCTTAGGTGCTTTCATCCCTCGGAGAAAGGACAGATGTGCCCATTGTCCAGTCCGTGGCCGTTACAGCCGGGTCAGAGCCAAGCCTCAGCCCCAGGCAAGCGGTGGTCACAATGGGAACAGTTTCTCGGAGCCTGGGTATCTGGGCCCAGATATGAACAAAGTGCGTCTGGCCTGTGCTGGGCCACACTCAGACTGGTTTGTTTGGGGCACCATGCTGCAGCCCACCAGTGGTGTGTCCTCTGCAAATGTTCCCTGACCTTCTGGGAGGCCAGGGTTGCAGTGGTGGTAGTAGCGGTGATTGGGTTACCAAGGCAAAAAGTTTGGGTTGGCCATCCCTTGCAGAAAGAAAGGTCCCTACCAGCTAACGCATGAGCGGGCCCACCTCTTTGCCCAGGTTCTTGCCACCACCAGGGCAACATCTTAATCCAGGCGGTTCAGGCCAGTGGGTACAGTCAACCTGCCATCCCCGAAAGTAGCCATGTCCTGAAACTGACTAATTTGGCTGACTTTAGCACCAGAGACACTTCCATCTTGTCCAAACAATGCATATGGAGGCCCTGGAAATGGGAGTCCATCTCAATGGATTTCACATCTACTTGCATAATGAACATTTAGGAATGTAAGACCCCCACAGAAGAAAATGTCTTAGGGAAGACCACATTGACAACAAGGAGCTCAGAAAACACAATTACTCTATTTAAACATATCTATATCTACCTATTCATATACACATACACACAAACATAAAACATTTTCTGCCAAGCAGATCGCATTATGTTGGTGGGCAGCTGCATTCTTGGTTCCTCACTGTATCTGTTCTCTTTTTCTTCAGCATAGATCATGGGGCTCTCATGTGAGACCAAACAATGGGTTAAAGTATCAGCCAGTCTTTGAGCTAAACTGTGGTTCCCTCACCTCCCATATTTTAATCCCACTGAAATGATTGATTTGCCCTTATGACAACTCTCTTCCCAAAAGGCAGTTTGTTAAAAGAAAGAGAGAAGTAAATACCACCAAGTGCACAAATTGTTCATGGTTTTCTCTTTGTGTAGCTAATTAGGAACTTGATCTTGGAAACCCTCCTTCATGTGAGGCTCTCAGCTGAGCCCCTGGAGTCCACCTGAAGAAGGCTCAGATCAAGTGAGCTCAACTTCCCCCACCCCCAAGGGGCTTTATGAAAAGGGAACCTGGCTCAGTGTTGGTCCCTAAAGGAGAAGCCAAAGAAAGATCTGGACAAGCATAATTTGTGTTGGGCTTGCTCAGTTGAATGTTTCTTTTGACTTTTTTCTCTAAAACGTTTTTTAAAATGTGTGTGTAGGATTTGCTTTGGCTTGCAAATCTCCCTAATCCTTCTTGGCTATTTACACTGTTTGTTTAACCATTGTTTTCCTGTAATTGACTGAGTTGCAGTAATTTCTCAGTCAGAAACAACATATTACTGTATGTTGTCACTTGACCTCACAAAGAGTCTTCATCTTTCTAAAGATGTGTTATGTGTATGGAGAATGCTCTTCTTAGGCCTAGTTAAGATGAGTGCACATGTTTGGAGGGAGGCCAAGCAGTAGAGAGATTGTCCTCTTCTGGAAGAGGATTGCTTTTGCCATTTTGTCCCTCTCTTTCCTTCCCCCTTCCAGTGCCCAGCACAAAGTCTGGCACCCATTATGTGCATGATGGGGGAATTAGAGCCTAAGGAGGAATCCCTTGAATCTTGGTAGGTCAATGTGTGTGGTTGATGGGAGGACTTACAGTTAGCTGATTAGACTTTGAGTAGCTGCAGGGAATTTAAAACAATAGTATCAATCACCAGCAGAGAATTACATACATACATATATGTAAGAAAAAGGGGGGGGGGGAAGACTATGGACCGAATGGCCTATTGCTGGCAATACATTTCGTGTGGAAACAGGATTTCAGGATGCTTTATTTTGTAAATGTCAGGAGAGCATGGGAGGTGGGATAGGCAGGTGTGATCCTTATGCTTATCCTTACGGGTTAGAGCTTGTCAGGTTTAGAAAAGAAAAAGATAATAAGGCCATTCCAAAGCTGGCCGCACAAAGCTCTCTGAAGGCTCTCATTGGTCTGAATGAATGCTTTAGCTCTTTTTTTGAGTAGAAGAGACAACATATGGCCCAGTCCCAGTTTTTGGACCATTCCAAAGAAATGTTTCTAGCCCCTCTGAATCATGAAGTGCTGACTGCCCATTTGTTAGCCTGGGAATGGGGCAAATTCCTCCACCCAGGATTCCAAGGGGAGGCTGAGTCCTTGGCTAGAGCCTCAGAGCAAAATACATCAGCATATCTGATGCCTGTGGCCAGTCTGAACTTAAGCTCCTGGCAAGTGTCTGGAGTTTCTTTGGTGTCTGGCTACAGCGGAACCCTTGACAACTGGGGGTGAAGGATTTGGTCCTGGGTGCTTTTTAAAGAGGAGCTCCTGTCTTTCTCTGGAGCCCTCCCACATCTGGAGAAATTTTATTTGGAAAATTGCTTAGGATTAGAGTAGAACACAAGAAATTTAGAAAGGGGTGGCTTGATGATTCACTATTGAAAACCTTAAAAAAAAATTAGTCAATGACTTCTCTCCACTCTCTGAGAACCAAGGAAGTGGTGAATTATTATTCCTGCCCTTTTCTTCAATCTTTGCTCGTCTGTTTAGCATAGAGTTTTTATTCATCCGTTCAGTTAACTTTTTCCCCCTCTTAAATTACTTTCATTTTCTTACAAATTATACAACTTAAAAAACCTAGGCATTTTTTGCACTTTCTGTGTTTCCTCTTCTCGGCCTTCTAAATCCCAAAGAGAAGACGCTCTGCTAAAGAGCTGTCCGCGAGTGCCCTCCGCAGCTGACTCCGAGATCTGGGAGTTGCCAAGCGCGGCCTGGGCCTCCCTCCGAGGACACCAGACAACTCCGTGCGCATCTGGTTACTTCCTGGGCAGAGGAAGAAACCCGCTTGTTTTCCTGGGCCCTCGGGTAAACTAGAGGCGACTTCTCTTGGTTGCAATCCGCCCCAGCAGTCGGCCACCTTGTCGAGTGCTTTTCAGGGCTTCGATCCAAGAGTGCTGAGGGAGAAATGGTGACTTGATGCCGTGGGGCTGAGGGAGAGGTTCGAGGCTACTGGAGAACTCTCTGGTCGCAGCATCCCGCGCTGGACGCAGATTCCGGGGGAGTTGGCCTTCTCGCTCCCAAACTTCAGTGGCTTTCCTTTCTTGGACATAACTTCATGTGGCTGAAGTGTATTGCAAAGGAGACCTGCCCAGGCCGCTGGGCGCGATGAGCTGGCTGAATTTGGGACCAATGCTTCTCTTCTAGTACCTCCCGGTGGTCTGGGACTCTGCGCCGGATTCGCCCCACGCACGC